TGTGTGTGTGTGTGTGTGTGTGTGTGTGTGTGTGTGTGTGTGTGTGTGTGTGTGTGTGTGTGTGTGTGTGTATGTGTGTGTGTGCGTGCGTGTCTTTGAATGTGTGTGTGTTTGAATGTGTGTGTTTTGAATTGAATTGCGAAGCAATTGAACAACCTGGCTAGGCCACGAACAGTAAAGAACAACATTTTACACAAGATGAACCAGTACAGCACCATACTAGATTGTCAACTGGGTCACCATTGTACACCTATTGCCATAGCTCGCAGAATTTTGATAACACTATGCCACACACCATTCAGCATTCATGGGGAGGGGTAAGGAAGAAAGAGAAAGAGAGAGAGAGAGAGAGCAGAAAGAGCACCTTCTTCGATGGGACCGATCTTTCAATCGATGAAGGAGGGTGGTGCATCCCAAAAACGCTTTTCACCGTTTGCGCCAAACGGCTCATCAGAGGGTAAGATGGGCTTCATTTTAGGTAGGCCTTCTACATCAGCTGGACCAATTACCAGTGGAGTAGGGGCGACCATAGTAGCCTGGGAGAGATTTAGAGGATGGGGTGTGTATGGAGGGGTGAGAGCTTGAGAGGGGGTAGCAGAGTAGGTAAGGTGTCGGAGGTAGGGAAGGTGGGAGGTAGACAACAGTGGGACGATATTTATGGATCAAGGTATCATTGGGTAAGGTGTGGAGGTAGGGGGCATGTGAGAGACGTTTACCGCATGTGCGTTGATCTCTGCATCAGTGACATGTTCGTCTGAGGTTGCTGCCGCCATCGTTGGATAGCGTTCGCTCGGTGTCCTGCAGTTAGCGCATATCTGCAGCGTTAGAGCGCAGTGCCAGGCGTCGGCTGTACCTTGGACACATTGTGTGTCTGGGTTTTGCCTTGCCGACTCGTGAATGCGGTGAAAGGAAGAAGTTTGCGCAAGGTCTACAGCAGTCGCTGCGGCCAGCTAACGCAGAGTGAGGTGCCGAAGTCTTGTTACCATACGTGTTCCATGAGTGCTTGTCAAGGCGTAGTCGTGTCGTACAAGTGAGGAAGAGTTTAGTGCTTTCACTGCGTATAAATGCTCGTGGTGTGTGTCGCGTGTGTCTGTAGGTTAGTAGTCTGGGCGGGAGTATTGGTTGTGTATGGTATTTTTGCGCGTCTCTACAGCCTGTGTGTTTTTCTTGTGTCCAATGTTGGTTGGGGGGGTACTTCGTGCTATCGTATGTATGTGAGGTGTGATAGGCCATCGATCACCCAGGCTATATTGGGGTTAGCTTGTGTATTTTCGTGGTTATTGTTCATGCAGTGGGTCTATAGCAGACAGTCTGCGCATATTGGTTAGGCGGAATTTTTTGTTTGCTAGTGGTTCGTTCCATTTTATAACTTTTTCGCCGTAAATCTTCTTGATATCTGTTTTTTTGTCCGGGTCATGGCGTGGTTTGCTCTATTTGAGCTAAATGTTAGTGTCTGCTCGTGCTTGCAGTTTATTTTTCTTGGATCTTTTGTCGTTTATGACCTCGCGTGTTTTATTTTCGTACGGGGGCGTATCTATTCATGATTTCTGGCTTAGTGCCAGTGTACTTACCAGTAGCCGTTTTATTCCACGAGTTCTCATTCGTTCGTGTGAGAGTCAGTTTAAACTTTTTCTTATTTTTTGGGGGGGGGTGAATTTTTAACTGTTTCATTGGGGGTTAGCCTTTCAGTGCCAAGGCCTGCATTTGTTTCTCCTTGGGAAGAGAGATATTTTCTGGGGGGGAGTGTGTGCTCTTGTGTGTATGCTTAGTTTGCTATTTGTTGTCTGGGGGTGTATGTTATGTTACTTTATGTGGGTTTGTAAGTCTGTGGTAGTTTCGAGCGTGTGGGTATGCTTGATTTAGTGTGTGTATGTGTGTTTATTTATTGTATTCCTCTGTATTTTTGTGTATATGTATATGTGTGTATGTGTGTGCGAGTCTGTGCGTGTGTGTTTTTTTATATATATCTAATTATATTTTATAGGTCCAAATATGTGACTATATGTGTGTGTATATATATGTACGTGTATTAATTATTAATTTTTATTATTATATTTTATTATTATTATTATTTTATTATTATTGTTATTGTTATAATTATTATTATTATTATTATTATTATTATTATTATTGCTATTTTTATAATTATAATAATAATAATAATAATAATAATAATTATTATTATTATTATTATTATTATTATTATTATTATTATTATTATAATATGTGAGTGTGTGTGTGTGTGTTTCCCTCCCGCATTCCCACGTGATGGGGTCCTGGAGGGGCAGAGGTACGGATGACGACCCTGCCCTCCGGGGGACCGCCATCCGTACTAGACATGTCTTTCGACAGTCTACACACACATGTTTTGGAGTAGAAGTTGGAGGTGTTGGAGTGTTGTGTGGGGGTTACATGTGAAAGGTTGATATTGGGTAGAGTTATTGAGAGTCATTCAGATTATGCCGTGGCACTTAGTTGGGTTGAATCTGTTGGCTGTCATTGTTCTGATAAGGTGCATCAGGTCTTTTGCTGCTTGCACTGACGAGGATGTTACAATCATGATGGTAATTGTCTGTGGGATGAGGATTTTGATTGATTGCAACACTGGTCTATTTAAGTCGTATTTAATGAATTGGATGGTAGGGAAATTAAGTTTTTTTCTTTTGTCGAACCTTGAGGTTTCGTATGTGCCCAAAGTGTGATCCGTGATAGTGATGGTGGTATTTAGGAAGGTGCAACTGTTATTGCTGGGAAGGGTGCTTTTTGCAGTCTGTTCTTTGAGGGTTACAATGTTGAGTGGGTAGAGATAGTATTTACTCCTTTTGCTTTTAACTGCTGTGTTTGTGAATTCTCTAATTCTGGGGTTGTTGATGCAGTTCAGATCATCAAAGTATCTAAAACAGTTCTGGAATAGGGGAAGTAAATGGAGGTTGGGCGCCAGTCGTAATTTTTTCATGAACTTGTATTCATACTGAAAAAAATATATGTTACACCACATGGAGGAGCAGCTGAGTCCCATTGGTATTCCCAGTGTTTGCTTCCAAGTAGCGCCTCCAAGTGTAGTGTACGCATTCTTCATTAACCAGTTGTTCATTCTTTGGATGTCTGTTGCGCCTAGTATCGTTGAAGTGTTTTGTCTGAGTGATGTCCAAGTTGCGTCAATTTCAATTTCCGACCCGTTATTTTTGATATAGCAAGCGATGCAAGTGTTTCTTCCATATGTTTTCCTTTCCTCTTTAAATGCAAGCTCAATGAAGAAGTTGACAGCCGCAGGTAGGCCATCTTTTGAATCATCGGTTGGGATCGACTCATAGCATTTTGTGATGTCTGCAGAGTACAGATTGTGGATGTGTGTGGGTAGGTTGTATATGTAGTCCAATACTGAGTCGACTATCCACCAGAACGGGACTCTGACTCCAAATTTCTATTCTATTGTTTGTGTGAGCGTACCACAGTGAGTTTTGACCATCAGTGCGATCTTTTTTAGTGTGAGAGCACAAATATCTGCAAGTGGGGAGAAGATTACGTCTGCCGCGTTGGTCAACCATTTGAAGTCATTTTTATGTTTTTTATATGTTGCCATAAGGTCGGGTAATTCTTTATTTTTGATAGGTGCGTAGGGAAAGTTTGTTTCGATTTGGCAACGAATTGTTCTAGTTAATTCACTTATTGTGCACTCACATGGTGTAAAATCTGTTCCTGAGAGTCTGCGTAGGGCAAGGTATCTAATAAGGTTAATGAAGGTGAATGTAGGGGTGTTAGGTGCCTTGTCGGCGCCGAATATGTAGAAGTGTTGTGTTAGAAAATCAATTTCATTTTTAGTGCTTGGTTTTTCGAGATCAAAATTGATTGGTCTGTGGAAACTTGCACAATTTTTATTTATGATTTGTGTAAGTTGTTTTTGTGTTGTCATAAGTTGTTCATTTGATATGATTATGCTCTCTTGATTGATTAGTTCTACAGTTTTTTGTAGGGTCATTTTGCATTCTTTCCTAATCTCATTCTGATTGTACGGTTTGAGTGGGATGTGGTTGAGTCCTTTTTCAACCTGATTCTTCAATTCTGGGTTTCGTATTATGTTTGTGTCTAGGGTGATGACGTAAGGCTGGAGTGCGTCATCTACGCATATTTGGATAAACCTTTCGTATCTATGGTGTTGGCAGAAGCAGGTTTGGTCCTGTTGTTCGTACCATTGGGTGAGATCGAATTTCTTGAACACAGCTGTAGGTTTGTACAGCTGTTTGGTAAGGTGGTTGTCGTAAGTCCATCCGAAAGTTATGCTCTGTAGTCTTTCTGATGAGAGTGGGTTGTGCTTATGAAGTAAATTTGTGAATAGGTTTCTGATTTTAATTTTTTTCCATGAGTCTGTTTCTGTAGTGTAGGTGGACGATCTTCCTGCGGGGTTCCGCAACCTTTCTCCAGCCTTTTCGTCCATCTTCCATGACATGTAGGTTGTTGACCTGTTCAGGTAACACAGATATTTACAGTATTCGTAAGTATGTTTTTTTGTGGAGAACTTTTGGTTGTAACAGTTGCAGGTTCGAATTGGACTCATACAATACTGATTAATCTAGGTTCGAATTGGACTCAAACAATACTGAGACAAGTTATATGTGGCTCTAATTATTTGTTATTTAAGTTAGTGTTTTGCTAACAATAGCAATAATAATAATTGGTGGTCGGGGATTTTTCTTAAGAGGGGTCACGGCTGCAAGGTAGTTGGCAGGATTTTATTTGGGTTTTGGGTGGGAGTAAGCAGAGGGGATTGAGCAGTAAGAGGGGGATGCAAAGGCAACGGTGTTTTGTATCAAAGCGGTAGTCTTAAAATAAATAATGGGAACCAATAAAAAATATATGTATACGAGTCTCAACAACACAGGTGTTTGTACTTGGCTTGTCTCACGAGTATTGTGGCTACTGCAATCAACATGGTACCCATCAAGGAACGAGGTGCAGTGGTCACGCTGTCTAAGTGGGTTGTTGTCTCAGCATCTGAGTTTCTCATATGAGAACCTTATCACTCTAAAAAAAAAGAGGTGCTGCAATCGGAACTCTATGTAGGGCAGCAAATCGAGCACCAGGGTCTGCTAAATACTATTGCTAATCAACAATAATATCCTGCAGTCTACAGATTAGAGAGTGTTAGTCTATCGCTATCGTAGTCGTTGCGCAGATCCCTTCTGATGGTTTTGAGATGCGAGGAACCATCGTCGTTGCCAGTGTTGACTTCGTTGTAAGCTTCAGTCCCTGATCCAGCAAGGGATTCTTCAACATCGAAATTCTTATAGATGTGGCCGAAGGTGCTGACCGCTCAGGCCGGTGTATTCGGAGGGGGCGATCCGACATTGATGGCAGTCTCGACCTGTGGCGGCTGTGTAACTACCGCCTGTGCTTGTCGCCCGCCGATCTGGCTCCGTGTGGGTAACCAGTTCAGACTGTCGGCAAGTCGGATTGTCGAACCAATCTGTAGGGATGCATGCTGGGAGGGGAGCGCTGCGGGGGGTCGTGTGCCAGGCAATCGGTTTGGTAGCTGGAGGAGCGGCGCTGACATGGGGGTGTTGTGTGTGGGTGCAAGGACACTGCTGATGAATTGTTGGGCCTGCAGGTGCTGGTTGGTGTTTGCATGGTTTCTGTTCCTCCGCTGCCTTATGTTGCCACGTCGTGCTGCATTGTGGTTCGGTCTGTGTGGCCCGCTGTTCTTTTTTGCTTTTTTCTGTGGGCGTGTATTTGGGTCGCAGTATTGCAGTGTGTTGTGGTTGGGCTGGGGGTTTGATGCTGTGTTATGGTTGTGAAGCGGTAGATGCTGTATGGGGTGGTTTTGCGTGTGGGGGGATGGTGCGGGTGTGTGGGTCATAGCTGCCCTGGGGAGTGGGGTGGTAGCCTGTGTAGCTGGTGCATGTTGTGGGGCTGCTGTGTGGCTGTGCTGTGGGTTGTGCAGGGCAGGTGTTGTGGCTGTCGGGGGGGTTCTCGTGGTTGTGCGTTGTGCAGTGCTTGTGCCAGGTGTGACCGAGGCGCTGGTGCCTGAGACCGGCGTGAATGGTAGCGGTGTTTGTCTTGTTCTGCTCCTATGTGTTATCTCCGGTTCTGCTGCTAAGGCACTTCTTCTGCTGCCTCCAGCCGCAGCCGGTGTCTTGACAGGGGCATCGGGGATCATGATGCCCGCGACTTTGCTTGCGAACGGAACATTCTTCAGCAATGGATGGTCAGTAAGTCCTTCGACGGTGGTCATGTTGTCGTCGATGAGTCTGTCGAGGAGGTCTCTCATGATCAGCCTCATGTACAGGAAGGTGACTTGTGCCAAGACCGGTCCCTTCCATTCTGTTTCCAGCTTCTGTTGGAAATCAAGCATGCGTGTCACATCTGTTGGAGCCACAGGGTTGAAGAAGTTCAAGTTGGCAATGTAGTACCATATCATGTGGTCAAACCAGGTAATGGTCTTGCCACAGTTCTTCTCACATGTGCACTTGAGATATGGTCGGCCGATGTTCCACATCCTCTGGACTTCTTCTAATGTCTGTGGGACTCTTGCGACCTTGGTTACAGCGCACTTGGTTCTGTCTAGAATGACCAGTATGGGGAAGTCTCCCTTAAGGGGTGGTATGTTGGTTGGGTAATGCAGTGAGAAGTTGTGTGCAGCATGTTTGCATGCCTCAACATCAGCGTCAGACAGATTGGCCAGTGCCTTGTATCCCTCAATCGAAATAGGTGTGGTGTAGTTGAAGGAGTCTAGGTGCCATACCTTGTGTGTGATATGCTTGCTATTCTTTTCTACCCAGGTGTCAGAAGCAATCGGTAGAAAGTGGCTATCTTGTGCAAACTCGTGCACTTTCCCTGTGCGATCTATCGTGGTGGAGGCGTTGGCAGTCACAGAGTTGAGTCTTCGTTCGTGTTGTTTCTCTAGATAGTCTATCTCAGCCTGTGTCTGTCCAATCCGTTATCTACGTTCCTGTCTCCTGACATTCACCTCGGTTGAGATATCGATATCTCCAACGCCATTCAGGTGATCCAAGCAGTACCCAAACTTATCTAACATCGTCTTCTCTCCTTTGGCTATGACCCTGTTAAGTTCCCTATTGTGTATCCGATTCCTGCTAAGGATGACTGCCACATTGAGCGCATAAGCTTCAATGAGTCTGTGCATCTTTTCTGGCTCAGTTTCGTACTTAGCACTGATGACCGCCCAGTCACTGATGTAGCTGTGTGGAATCTGTGGAGGATGTCTTGTGGGAACGTCATCATAATCAGGTGAGAGTGGACGATTGGTGGTTGCAAGTTGGCGAATGGAGCTACCATAGGTGTCAGGTCCGCATGCCACCCGCGGTTGATGATCTCCTGGTCATGCACATGTCAACATAGGCGCGGTTGGGTAGTTAGTTATGGTTGGCGTTGTTATGTGTTGGTAAGCAGCTAGGTGCGTTGTCATGTATTTAGTAGGGAAAGTTTTTGTGGGGACTCACCATTATGTGGGGCCAGAGGCGTCGTCTGTTGTCTTCATATCTCTCAATTACGCCCTACAAGAATCAAGGGGAATCATAATTAATCTTGCATGTTTTTTGTCGTTGGGGATGCAGTTAAAGGAGGGTTTTATTGCAACCAGGGGAGTAGAAAAAACAGAAGATTTTACAGCAATTTATTATATTTCATGGTATTATCTTGGATTTACTGTTTGTTTGTTTTTTTGGGGAAATCAATTAATTTTTCTGTTTCTGTCTTATTGTGGCATTTTATATGAGGTTGTGCGGCTAGGGATGCAGTCATGGGTTGGTAAGGATTAATGATGAGTGGCGGGATAAAAAAGATTCTAAAGTAATCTTATTCATGTATTATTATTTTTTATGATACTGTGTCGAATCAATTTTTCTGTTTCCGTCTGGCTGCGGCTTCTTATAGAGGATTGTGCACATTTGGTTCTTTTTTTTTGTTTTTATCATTGTTTTATTTATATGTGATGTATTTAGTCGTTTCTGTGGCTTGTAGGGGTATCTTGTTCTTGTTAGTTTAGCTAATGCTGTAGTCTATTTAAACACAGTTCTGGGTCGCTATTTTTTGGAGGGTCGTGTCTCTTCGCGTGTCTTTAGCTCCTGGTCTGCGACGGTCGGTCCGACTACTAGTTGTCGCCTGTCATCCAGGTTTTGGGGTCTTAGTCGTCCGTCGCTTTCCTAGTGGGGGGATCTAAAAATTATTTTGTTCTTTTTGCAGTATTTATATTTTACTATTTAAGCATGCCAGACCTCTGTTTGTCTGTGTAGCGAAGTTCTGTATCGGCGTATCTCTTTGTCGTTGTTGTTGTCTCTTTTATTGCGCAATTAGTGTCAAGGCCACGCATACTTGCTGTCGTGTTCTATTCAGGTTGAGAGTTTTGTTCGCCATGTCAGTTTCTTTAATTGCGCGAGGGCATATCGAGGGCCGCGCCGTCAATGGCTTTCGAGATGTGCGACCTTCGGGATTATCGCTTGGATCGTGAGTTCGATTTTACAAGTGTGGTAGATAGGCATGAGATTCGACATTATGAGCTCGATGCGAGGGGGGAGTTGATGTTACGCTTGGCAGTCGGGTTGGGTTACGATGGGGAATATCTACGAGAGGTTATTGTATACGTAACAAAGGTGGGTGCCAATGTTCCAAATGTTCATGTCAGTGCTAGTGAGGATATCGTCGAGTCTATGGTATGTCTGGTGACTACAGCACTGCTTCGGGAGCATGGCGATTACTTATGGTCTACTGTGGGGTGGGAGGCGAATTTAGATGCGCCCTTGGAGGGTCGTGCTTACATGCGCGGTATGCTACAGTTGTAATGCGTGGTGTTGTGAGAATCTGCTCATCTGGTCGCTAGCAGTGGTACTTGGAGCAGGGCGCTACGTATGCCAACAGGGCCATACATCTTATGATTGGGTTGTTCCGTTGCGAAAAGGTTCTTAAGTGATTTTTCAAGGATACGAGTACGCTTGATATTGTGTGGGCGGCGACTATGAATGCTTCATTGGAGGATCGCGTTTAAGTGTGTGTCACTGTGCAGATTGATCTGAGTATTGGGATTGAGGTGATTTCATGGCCGGTTATGTCATCAACAGGGTATTCTCTGTGGTGCTACCGAAGTGATTCCACAAAATCATGATTGATTTTGCCATCTTGCTTTCTTCGTAGTTGTGGCCTAGGTGGCGAGTATGGCTACATCATTGGGGGATCCTGTTGATGGGTGAGGGATAGTTCGGAGCTTTGTGAGTGATCTGCGAGTCGGTTATTGGTGGTGATCTAATACTGTGTTGATTTTGTAATGACAAGGTCATATCTGTTTCTGCGCCACAGATCAATACATACTTGTGTGCTGGGATTGCAGTTTCTATAGAATTTCTAATCAACAATGTATGAGCAGGGGTGTGTATCGTTTGGATTTAAATTTTGTACGTGATCGAGAACGGGTGGACTGTGAACTGAGTACGACCGGTGTTTTTATCTTTGTTTTTTCATTGCAATTTTCTATTTTTTGTATCTGGGTCTCATTTGTAGGTAGGTAACGAAGCTGGCATGTCATTTTGTGTTGTGTTCTCGACACGTGCGTGGTCACGCCGGTGTCATGTGAATTGCTTTCGTTTGAATGTATGTGTAATTTTCGTTGCGTTTATTGTATTTGATCTTGGTGATCGATCGACTGTATCATGTGAGTAATGTTTCTACCATTTGGTGTTATTCATTAACAGATGCATCTAACCGAGTAGCCTCCTGAAAACTATTGTGGTCAATCTGTTGTTACATGAGTTTGTACTCTTGTTAAATAATCGCTTGTTCCGAGTTTATGTGAAATTTTTGGTGTGGTCATCCTGCGATGACTATTCGTATGTTTGTTAGGAATGATCTTTGTATTGCACCTATTGTTTAATACTTGTTACTCGTTGTCTTGTGCGATGGTAGTGTCGTACTTTTAGGAACTATATGCGTGCGTGTGTATGTTCTCGTGGACAACATCGAGTCTATAACGTCATAGTGTCATATTTTTCGGAAGATTGCGCATATGAGTGTATGATCTTGTAATTCAGTCATGGGGAATCCATGACTCGCATTTCTAAATGGTTTTATTTTTAGTATTACGAGTGTGGTGTGCGTAATGAGAAAAAATTAATGATAATGCCGGTAAACAATCGAGCGGTGTAGTTGCGACTGTGGGCTATGCATGTGCGGAGGAGTTGCCTATACTTATTCTACTTGGTAGGGCGTAGCCTATAGTCCGTTAACTAGGTGTATACTGTGGCCGCTTCATTTGTACAAGTGGATTCTACAATAGTAAGTCTTTTTAGTTTTGGTTCCAGGGTCTTGTTAGCTATTTAGTACGAATTTTTTTCCTGCTTTATACGATGGCTAAGGGCAAGTTTATCGCAGGTGGGGAAGAGAATAACATATCCTTGTTTTGGTATGTTATTTCCTGTCTTTTTATTTTTTGTCTATACGTATGTGCGCAAATGAAATGGTGTTGTCCTTGGGTGACTTTCGGCGGAGCAGGTTTAGTAGCGGTTGGTTTGATAGTAGAACAAGTTTGTCTATATCTATGCTATGCGTGAGTTACATGGGGCATATTTAAGCGATGTGGTGTGTGTGGGTAAGGAGGTATTGTGTGCATAATTTCGGTGGTATAAGATAGGTGGAGGGCGGGGGTGGGGGTGGGGAGTAAGCAAGAGTAACGTAGGAGCCACAGGGGGGGTTACTGGTGGGAAGTGTAGTCCGTAGTGCGTTAGCTTCTCGGCCGTGTATCCCTCGTTTTACCATGACCAGCTAGTAAATCAAGACTGGTTGTGTCAAGTGCGTAGCCGCCCTCATGCGTACTGTCAGGTGGGGAGTCTACCCACACCATTGTATCAGGGCTCAAAAGTCTGTGTGTGTTTTGAATTGAATTGCAAAGCAATGGAACAACCTGGCTAGGCCAGGAACAGTAAAGAACAACATTTTACACAAGATGAACCAGTACAGCACCATACTAGATTGTCAATTGGGTCACCATCGTACACCTATTGCCATAGCTCGCAGAATTCTGATAACACTATGCCACACACCATTCAGCATTCATGGAGAGGGGTAAGGAAGAAAGAGAAAGAGAGGGAGAGAGAGAGCAGAAAGAGGACCTTCTTCGATGGGACCGATTTCTCAATCGACGAAGGAGGGTAGCGCATCCCTGAAGCGCTTTTCGCCATTTGCGCCAAACGGCTTATCAGAGGGTAAGATGGGCTTCATTTTAGGTAGGCCTTCTACATCAACTGGACTAATTCCCAGTGGAGTAGGGGCGACCATTGTAGCCTGGGAGAGATTTAGAGGATGGGGTGTGTATGGAGGGATGAGAGCTTGAGAGGGGGTAGCAAAGTAGGTAAGGTGTCGGAGGTAGGGAAGGTGGGAGGTAGACAATAGTGGGACGATATTTCTAGCAAGGAATCATTTAATTTATGGATTAAGGGAGCTTTGGGAGAAGGTATCAGTGGGTAAGGTGTGGAGGTCGGGGGCATGTGAGCGACGTTTACCACATGTGCGTTGATCTCTGTGTTAGTGACATGTCCGTCTGAGGTTGCTGCCGCCATCGTTAGATAGCGTTGGCTCGATATCCTGCAGTTCACACGTATCTGCAGCATTAGAGCGCAGTGCCAGGCCTCGGCTGTACCTTGGACACGTTGTCTGTCTGGGTTTTGCCTTGCCGACTCGTGAATGCAGTGAAAGGAAGAAGTTTGCGCTCTGCAGCAGTCGTTGCGGCCAGCTAACGCGGAGTGAGGTACCGGAGTCTTGTTACCATACGTGTTCCGTGAGCGCTTGTCAAGGCATAGTCGTGCCGTACAAGTGAGGAAGAGTTTAGGGATTTCACTGCGTATAAATGCTGCCGGTGTGTGTCGCTTGTGTCTGTGGGTTGGTAGTCTGGGCGTGAGTATTGGTCGTGTATGGTATTTTTGCGCGTCTCTACAGCCTGTGTGTTTTTCTTGTGTTCAATGTTGGTTGGGGGGGTACTCCGTGCTATCGTAGCTTTGTGAGGTGTGATAGGCCATCGATCAGCCAGGCTATATTGGGGTTAACTTGTGTATTTTCGTGGTTATTGTTCATGCAGTGGGTCTGTAGCAGACAGTCTGTGCATATTGGTTAGGCGGGATTTTTTGTTTGCTAGTGGTTTGTTCAATTTTATAACGTTTTCGCCGTCAGTCTTCTTGATATCTGTTTTTTTTTCCGGGTCATGGCGTGGTTTGCTCTATTTGAGCTAAATGTTAGTGTCTGCTCGTGCTTGCAGTTTTATTTTCTTGGACCTTTTGTCGTTTATGACCTCGTGTGTTTTATTTTCGTACGGGGGCGTATCTGTTCATGATTTCAGGCTTAGTGCCAGTGTACTTACCAGTAGCTGTTTTATTCCACGAGTTCTCATTCGTTTGTGTGAGGGTCGGTTTAAACTTTTTCTTATTTTTTTTTGGGGGGTGAAGCTTTTAACTGTTTTATTGGGGGTTAGCCTTTCAGTGCCAAGGCCTGCATTTGTTTCTCCTTGGGGAGAGAGATCGTTTTTTGGGGGGGGGGTGTGCTGTTGTGTGTATGCTTAGTTTGCTATTTGCTGTCTAAGGGTGTCTGTTATGTTACTTTATGTGGGTCTGTAAGTCTGTGTTAGTTTCGGGCGTGTGTGTATGCTTGATTTAGTGTGTGTATGTGTGTTTATTTATTGTATTGCTCTGTATTTTTGTGTATATGTATATGTGTGTATGTGTGTGCGAGTGTGTGCGTGTGTGTTTTTTTATATATATCTAATTATATTTTGTAGGTCCAAATATGTGACACTATGTGTGTGTATATATATGTGCGTGTATTAATTATTTATTATTCATTATTTATTTATTATTATTATTATTATTTTATTCTTGCTGTTATTTGTTGTTATTATTATTATTATTATTATTATTATTATTATTATTATTATTATTATATGTGTGTGTATGTGTGTTCGTGTGTGTGCGCGCGTGGTGGGTGGCGGGGGGGTGGGGCGACCCCTCCCCCACCACTCACTCACTCAATCAATCAATCAATCAATCAATCAATCAATGAAAAAAAAAAAAGCAAAATCGAATGAATCTTACGATAGAACATGAACATATACAATACTTTGTGTGTGTGTGTGGGTGGGCCTGTTGGAGATGGGGGGGAGACCCCGCCCCCACCAATCAATCAATCAATCAATCAATCAATCAAACAATCATTCAATCAACGAAAAAAAAATAAAAAAAATCGAATGAATCTTCCACTAGAACATGGAAATATACAATCCTATGTATGTGTGTGTGTGTGTGTGTGTGTGTGCGCCTGTGGGGCCAATCAATCAATCAATCAATGGAAAAAAAAAAAAAAAAAAAGAGTTTTTTTTTTTTTTTTTTTTTCTTTTGAAATACCTTCACTCACCCAAA